GATTATAAATTTCTTCCTTTAAAGAGACAACCCTACACGTTTACCATTCCTGGTCGCTCTAGTGCTTATCTGTGAGCACAAGGAGCTCATGCCCTCTACAAGTTACCTCTCTTCTATGCATTTGGCTAGCTGATGCTCACATTTCTTCATGTTTATCTTTAAACTTAAAAGGCTGTTATCTTTAAATTTCAGATTTCCCTTTTTGTTTTCAGGCTGCTGACTATATTGAAAGAATTGTTTTCTATAGTTTTGGTCACATTTGTATCAATTTAATCCCTTCAGATTCTAAGATAGGCTGAGTAAACTCTGATACTTGGGAAACAGAAGTGGAGAATCTCTGCTACATAGTTGCAAGGCAGCCTGGGCTACATTAGAGCCTGTCTCAAAAAAACAATTCAAGAACAGAAACCCTTTAGCTTTTTAACTCTCGGAAGATGAACCGTTGTAGAATATTAGAGCTGGGTGGTGGACCCCCAAAGACCAAAACAGTAAAGAGCCAAAAGAGTAAAAAAACAACAACTACATTTTGGCCTACCAATGGGAGGCTCTCAAATATCCACATAGGCAGGGCCTGAGAAAGCTGACCAAATAAAATAAATAGCTGCTTTAAGAAACTGGTTATAGCAGAGCACTTAAACAGCTTTTTTCATACTAAATAGAAACAAAAAAACTAAGTAAAAACACCTGCACAGTGCAGGGCACTAGCATCCACAGGTGGGGGTTGAATGCAGTTCCTGATCAAATGCACCTCTGACCAGGCTTTGAGCTTTAGGCTCATCTCTCATGGACCTAAAAGTGGGAGGAACCAGCCACCAAGGCCTCTCAGAGGACCCAGCTGTAGCTTAGCAGTTTAAAGTTTGCTCACATGGTCAAAAAAGACTAAAGGTACGCAGTAAAAGAGGTCCATACGGAAAAAACCTCTAAACAGGTGCCAGTGTGTTTAACAATGGCTTAAGGAAGAAAAGAAAATGGGTATAGACAATCATAGAAAGAAAGAAATAGTTTAAAAATAATAGTATCTTTAAAGAAAGAGTAAAAGTAATTTAAAACAAAAAATCCTCGTAAGATGGGAAATACACAGGGAGTCTGGATCCTGTTTATTATTGTGTTGATTTTGAATTTTTTTTATTGTTGATAAGCAAATGACAGCTGCTAAGAGACATGGGATTGAAAGGACCGCTGAAGTAAACCAATCTAGATATTTTAAGAATGCCTTAACTTTAAAATGGAAGTCAAAAATGCTTTGGAGAAGTTTTGCTTTTGTTTCCACAGGAAACAAGAGGCTGTGGGTTTGTTCTAGGTTGATATGGATCAGATTTGATCAAGGGAGACCTCCTGAATCTTGACAGGTGATAAATATCAACAAAGGTTACTGCTGATCTTCCCAGAACTTGGCCATTCTCTCATATTTTCTCCAGGACCCTTAAAGATGTCTTTGATCACAGACAGCAGGAAGCAGTCTGGAGAACATGATGCCCACATTCCCAAGTGATGGGATGGGTGGTCTTTGGTTATTGGTGGGTTATGGATGTTTGTTATCATTTAGGGGAATATAGGAATATAGGATAAAAAGACAACCATTAATCTCGTTTTGGTATATTAATACAAATTTAAAGTTATTTTTGTTATACTGAATGCATGATTCTACTCTTGTTTAGGGTATTGTGCTTATGCTGCTCATTTAAAATGCAATGTGTAATTAATAAATGAGGTTAGTAGTTAACCTATAATAATCAAGCTTGTAATCACATTAGGTATATGTTTCAAGGTTAAACCGGTATATTTTAGACAGATTATTTTCAAACACTTCAAAGATCTACAGAATATGGCATTTAAGATGTTCAGTAACCTAAAGTTTTTCATGACAGTGAGAGACATCTGCTCCTGGCAGCACCAATTTACTTCATAAAAGGATGATGGGCACCAAAGAAATTCCATACAGAGTTTACTTTCACTAAGACAAGGTAGCCACTAGGCAAAGAAATTGCTCTTGCCTTTGACTGCTGACAGCATAGTAAGGCTGGACAAGCAGGGACATAGGAAAAAGACTGTTGAACTTTCCAAGACAAGGCAGGACAGTCCTTCAAAATGACTGCTTCATGGAAGAGTCTGCCAGACATTCTGCAAGACACAGAGGAAAGCAACTAATGAACTTTGCCTTCAAATTTACTGCTTCACTGAAAAGTCAGATATTTTAGGCCTATAGGCTGAAGATGGATGCCCCAACATTGCAGAGGAACTTTGGGTGACTGTTTAGACAGTCAGATGTCTCTGTCATTTCTAGAATTTTGGAAGTTGCTTGCAATACACTTCCTGTTTACTCAGGTAATAGTACACCCTTCTTTGATGGAGTTAAAGACTAAATAATTAGAGTTTCAGTTTTCCTTAGTTATGATAGAAAGCAAATTAGGTATAAAACTTTGGAGTCACTAAGATGGGATGAATGGTGGAATGTTTTCTCTAAAGTTGCTAAATACAATGGACTGAATATTGTAATTGTAATTCTTACTTGATAACTGTTTTTATTGTATATAGTTTTACTATATTAAGTTAAAAAACTTTCATTTTTATTTAGACAAAAAGGGGGAAATGTAGAATATTAAGGATGTGTTACATTTGTTTATGCTGTGGAACATTTGTTTAATGATGTAAAGATGTGTTGCATTCTTTTATGTTGCATTTGTTTAACTCTGTAAAGCCGTATTACTTTGCCTGTCTAAAACACCTGACTGGTCTAATAATGAACTGAATGGCCAACAGCAAGGCTGAAGAAAGGTAAGGCAGGGCTGGCAGGCAGAGAGAATAAATAGGAGAAAAAAGCAAGAGAGATGGAGAAGCAGGAGATGGAGTTGGACCCCAGGGGTCAGCCACCCAACTACACAGCAAGCCACAGAGTAAGAAATAAAGAAAGGTATATCGGATAAAGATAAAAAGCTCAGAGGCAAAAGGTAGACAAGATAATTTGAGTTAAGAAAAGCTGGCTAGAAATAAGCCAAGCTAAGGCCAGGCATTATAAGAAAGAATAAGCCTACATTGAATTTATTTGAGAGCTGGATGGCAGGCCCCCAAAGACCAAAAGAGTAAAGAGCCAAAAGATTAAAAAAAAAAAAAACCCAACAACAATGAACCTAATTGTAAATGAAAGCTGCCTCCTGGATATGTTAAGTATGTTCTAGACATAATGTGTTTTGGCGAACACTGTAGAAATTTATATAAAATGAGCTAAAAGTAAATGGCCCGTGTAGAAAAAAATAGTAATTTTTTTCATAGCTCCAAATCAATCATGAAGGATGATGGTCTTTAAAAGGAAAACAGTAATCAAGGCAGTCATAAGGGCATATGACTTAGGAACTGTACCTTGGGTCATCTATGTCTATAGAAGAGATACATTTAATTTGGTCCAGTGCAGTTACATAGTTAATATGAAGGCCCTATTTAGATACACTTCAAAGGCAGAAGTTAATTTTCTTTAACTCTAGACTTTAATGTAAAGGAAATGGGGAAGAAAATTTCCCTCCTCAAATGGTTAAAAATAAAAGTAACAATTGTTGGTGAAGTACTAGAATGTTAAAGTGTTTTCTTCTTTACACTGTAACCATAACTGTGGTTTTTAGTGTCACTTTGCAGCTCTGATTGACCTAGAACTCACAATGTAGAGTAGGCTGGCCTTGAACTCAGAGATCTGACTGGCACACCTGACCTTTCTCAGAGATTTTTTTTTTAATTTATTTTTATTTTATCTGTATAAGTGTGTTGAGTGCATGTTCGATGCCTGAGGAGCCAAGGGTGTTGGATCTCCTGGAACTGGAGTTACAAGAGGTTGTGAGCTGCCATGTGGGAGCTGGGAACCAACCCCACTGCCAAGCTCTGCAAGACCAGACAATGCTCTTAACCAATGAGCCACTTCTCCAGGCCCTCCTTTTCTTTTCTTCTCTTTTCTAAATTGGCTTTTGTTTTGTTTTTGCTTTGTCTTTCAGACAGGGGCTCATGTAGCCTAAGGTGGCCTTGAACTTGCTGAGGATGACTTTGAACTCCTGGTCATCCTGCCTGTGTCTCCCTGCTGTTATGACAGGAATGAGCCACCATACCAGCCTAGTATCTCTAATTTCTTTTAGTCATTATATGATTTCTTCTGCTATAGACCAGATAGTAATTAAATTTTCCCAAAAACAAATTCCTAACTGACAAATTTCACTGACTCTGCTGTAGGCAGATACTACCCACTAAACACATACTGAGAAAAACATGGAAATACTAAAACAAGTTCTCAGACTCAGTTCTTACAAAAATTGTCACCAGCTCTCAAATGGTCTAATTTTCACCATACTATGATATGGATAAGACAGTAACTTCCAATAAGGTACTAATTATACATGGCTTTTAATTACAAAGCTACTGTACAGAAGCACTACATTTTTGCAAAGCTGAGAAATGGCCAGAGAATATTGTTAGTCCATCCTTCCTCTCTCTCTGCCTCCCTTTATCCTGTCTTCTTTCCCCTTTCTCCTTCTTTGAATAGCCCCTAGGCAAGAACCATGCCACTGAGCTACATCTCAGTACATTCTGTATCTGTATATTTACACATATTACAAATATTATAGTTACATAGTTGTGTGCATGTATGTGTGTGTGTGTGTGAAAGCCAGAGGTCAGGCATATCATCATCTTTGTGTGTGTGTGTGTGTGTGTGTGTGTGTGTGTGTGTGTGTGTGTGTGTGTGTCTGTATGTGAAGATAGTATGCATGTATGTGTATGGATGTTCACAGGTATATGTATGCCCATGGAGGCCAGAGGTTGACACAGGGTACCTTTCTTTGATCTCTCTCCCCATTACTGATTGTCTTAGTCAGTGTTCTATTGCTGTGAAGAGACACCATGAACACAGCAACTCTTATAAAGGAAAGCATTTATTTAGGGCTTGCTTACAGTTCCAGAGGTCTAGTCCTTTATTGTGTCATACCTAGCCCATTATGTGCCATGAGGAAAGAGAGAGGCAACACTTATGGTTCCAAAGATTTTATTAAGTCACCACATAAACAGGGCACTGATTGATCAGGGCTGCAGAACAAGGACTTGGGAGCCTTGTTTCTCCTGACAGCCCCAAGAAGGGGCAGAAGTGGGGTTTATAAGCACAAAAATCACAAACATTTGTTGCCAAGTTACAGTTACAATTTTCACCAATCAGGATTTAGAAATTAGAGTGTTCCTTCATTGTTAATCAATATACAATGCAAACCTTTCAGTCCAACCAATCAGATTCATTTGTTCCTTCTGTTGTTAGGAACAGTCATATTGTTTCTAGGGAACTAAAGATGCATAGTGATTATTTCTATTGTTTAAGAAAGAGGTAGGATCAGCTATTGGAAAGTTCTCAGCTCTCCTAGGACTTGGGAACCAGAACTTTATTCAACCCTGCAGGTAAAATGGAGTCTGAAGTCAAAATGGCAGTATTCAGGCCAAGGTGCTTTTACCTGCTCCCTTCATCATGGTGAGAAGCATGGTGGCATGCAGGCAGACATGGTGTTGGAGAAGCAGCTGAGAGTTCTACAACTGGATCCGCAGGCAACAGGAAGAGAGGGAGACACTGGACCTGGCTCGGGCTTCAGAAACCCCAAATCCCACCCCCAGTGACACACTTCTTCCATAAGGCCACACCTACTCCAACAAGGCCACACCTCCTAATCCTTTCAAACAATTCCACTCCCTGATGATTAAGCATCAAATCTATGAGCCAATGGGGGCCATTCTCATCCAAACCACCACACTGATGCAATATCTCCTGCTGAATCCTGAGCTCATTAATTCCATTCAGCTGCTCAAGTAAAGCCCTCTTGCCCCAGGGATCCCATTCCCACCTACTGAACACAGGCCGGCCACTAGAGCCACCCAACTTTCAAAAGCATACAGTCACCAAGAAATGTTCTTACTACTGCCCTAACATAAAATACATTCATATCTATTACATTCCAATAACTTAGTCACTTAGACAGTACAAACATATTACAAACCATATAAATTACTTGCTTAGAAATTTAAGTATGAATTCTAAAAATGACCTTAAATATACATTCTCAAGATAAACTCAGAATTCAGTGTTTCACATCTTGAAATTTGTCAAGTATGCCAGTAGAAGCCACAGACCCATGGGGGTCGTTTTTAGGAGAGATTGTTGAAATTTCTTGAGACAGTCATAGTTTTAAATTTTCTGTTTTTGTGGTTTTTGAGACAGGGACTTGCTGTTTTGTCCGGTGCAGTCTTGAACTCCTAGGCTGAAGTGATCCTCCTCCATTAGCCTCCCAAGTAGACAGGCACACACCTCCACGCCTTGATATTTACATAATTTTGAAACCTGATGGTGACTGGCTGAGATTAGATAAACTGAATAAATGTGAAAGACTGGCTGATGTTTCTTGAGTCCACTTTAAAGCACTGTATTATAAAAGAATACTGTCAGCATCCTGGGATGTAGCTAGTAACAGAGCTTTTGCCTGGCATGTGCAAGACTCTATGTTCTATTCCTAGTACTATAAACACACACACACACACACACACACACACACACACACACACACACACACACACACACACACACAGAGCCAGGCATGGCTCATGTTGTAGTTCCAGCATTTGGAAGGCAGAGGCAGGAGGATTACTGCAAACTGTGTACACTGGTAGAGTATAGATTAGAGTTCTTCCTTAGAGAGGAAGGAAATGATTAGTTTTCTAGAATTTTCATTTAATATAATTCATTAAGAAGCCAAATATTTTATTTCATGTATGTAGGAATTAGAGTGCTTGTCAATTGTATCTTCTCAAAGCTAGAAGATATCAATTAAAGGGTAGTATACTTGAATGGTATAATATAAAAGTAGAAGAGTAAGACATGATGGCTCATGCCTGTAATCTCATCACTTGGTAGACTGAAGCCCAGCCTGGGGTACATAGTGAGTTCCAGGGTAGCCTGAGCTACACAAAGAGAGACCCTATCTTAGAAAGAAAACAAGTAGACAGCAACAATAAAATATTCTATATAGAAGATATCCAACATTATTCCTTTTTTTTTTTTTTTTTTTTTTTTTTTGGTTTTTTTTTCGAGACAGGGTTTCTCTGTGTAGCTTTGCGCCTTTCCTGGATCTCGCTCTGTAGACCAGGCTGGCCTCGAACTCACAGAGATCCGCCTGCCTCTGCCTCCCGAGTGCTGGGATTAAAGGCGTGCGCCACCACCGCCCGGCCATTATTCCTTTTTGAAGATAACATCTGCTTACAGAATTTTATTGTTGGTATAATAATAAATTATTATTGAGTATCTGAGGAGGCTGGTTATTCAATCTTCTTGACTGAATTCTATATAGATAGAAACTTACTATAAGGACAAAAGGCAATTTGATCCCAAAGTGTGTAGGAAATTGCCTGAGAGTTTAGGCTAGAAATATAAACAATCAAAACTAGAGGGTTTTTTTTTTAAATGCAACTTGTCTTATATTAGAATAAAAGTATTAATAACTCTAAAATGCCACCTGTCACTGTTGTAATTTTAACCAAAGCATTAGAGATGTGAAAACATCAGGGAAATAAGACTTTCAGACTGGAATGAATAGGAAGGATTTGGATAACAGTTAAAATAATCATTTTGAAACAAGTGGGCCTATGGAGCCCATAGCAACTGCTCAGTGAAGCAGGCCTGCCGCAGGTGATTGAGAGCAATGGAGAAACGTAACTGAGTCTGGAAGGGAGTCCTGGACTCCTCATTTCTCTGGAGGCCCATCACCCACCTCTTTCCTGCGAAAGAAGATGAACATGGACTTCACTGTGCCATCACCGCTCTGCTGAGAAAAGCAGAGGAAGGTGGCCCAAAGGAAACCACACAGTCCCGTATAAGCTGTTCTCCAGTGCACAGGGACAAGGCTGAAGTTGGTCAGCTGCAATGCAAAGAGAGTCTATTAGAAATGGACAGGTAACAGAGTTTGTTTTGGGTTTTGTTTTTATCCCACGCTAGGGACTGAACTCAGGGCCCAGCACATGCTAGGCAAATGCTCTACCACTGAGCCAAGACCCAGCCCCAGATTCTCTGTAGATTTGCACTCACCTGCACAAAAGGCCAGTACATCAGACCACTCTGGAATAAAGAAAACCCTCATTAGAATGCTGTCTAGTTACAAAGCAAGCACAGTTCATTCTATAAGAGATTAAGAAATGCCAGGCACGTAGGGTGCCCAGTAGGACTGGATTGCACTCTGAACTGATTAAATGAAGACATCTTGATACCTTGAGAATAGAGCAGGTGGAGACTTGAGGGCACAACTTGTAAGCCAGTACACCTTTTGTTAGTTATAAGTACAGAATGAAAAGTCAGTCAGAAATTCTGGAAGAAATAGGTACTTTAAAAATAATCACATGTATTTATATAATTTCCAAGTGAGTAACAGCATATAATATACATATGTTTTTATCAGTGAATTTTTCAAAGTATATTCCAACCCCCGCCGCCCCCCAATTTTTTTTTGAGATAGGGTATCACTATGTGTCATTGGTTGGCCTGGAGTTTTGCCCACTCTATAAACCAAGCTGGCTTAGAACTCACAGAGATTCACCTGTCTCTGCTTCTCCACTGCTGGAACTAAAGGCATGCGCCACCACAGCTGGCTTATCCAAACAGTTCTTTTTGTTTGTTTGTTTGGTTGGTTGGTTGGTTGGTTGGTTGGTTTTTTTTTTTTTTTTTTTTGGTTTTTTGAGACAGGGTTTCTCTGTGAAGCTTTGCGCCTTTCCTGGATCTTGCTCTGTAGACCAGGCTAGCCTTGAACTCACAGAGATCCACCTGCCTCTGCCTCCCAAGTGCTGGGATTAAAGGCGTGCGCCACCAACGCCCGGCTGGTTTGGGTTTTTTGAGACAGGGTTTCACTGTGTAGTTCTGGCTATCTGGAACTTGTTTTGTAGACCAGGCTGGCCTTGAACTCACAGAGATCCACCTGCCTCTGCCTCCCGAGTGCTGGCATCAAAGGTGTGCACCACCACCGCCCGGCTGCAAACAGTTCTTTATGGAACAATATGCAAACAATATATCTATGCTATCTCTTGGTACAGAACAAGATTAGCTGACATTACAAATTTCTTCTTACATTTAGTGTGTGTGTGTGTGTGTGTGTGTGTGTGTATGTGTGTGTGTGTGTGTGTCTGTGTCTGTGTATGTGTGTGTGTGTGTGTGTGTGTGTGTGTGTGTGTGTGTGTGTGTGTGAAGATACTTGCAGGAGTCTTGGAGACTGAACTCAGCTCCTCAGACCTGGTGGCAAGCCCATTTACCCACTGAGCCATCTTGCCATCCTCTTAATTTTTAAAATCTTTCTTTTTTAATTTATTTGCTTTTGTAACTGGGTCTTGCTCTGTACCTCAGTTTGGTCTCAAACTCATGGCAGTCCTTCTGCCTCAGTCTTCTGAGTGCTGGGGTTATAAGTATTAATTCAAGTATCAAAAATTAATTTTTAGAAAATACATACATGAGCCAGGCGTGAGGGCAAATCTTTAATCCTAGCCATTAGGAGGAAGAATGTGTGTGTGTGTGTGAAAGACGGGGGTCTTTCTGTAGGGACACAGAAATCAGCTTGAAGGACCTCCCACTGATCAACTCTGGAATGCTGCAAGCACCAAAAATAATTAAACCCAGTAACGAGTTTTAAACCCTGGAAGAAAAACAAGAACCTCAGAGTACACACCCACAATAAAGAAGTGGCTGGGACAGAAGAGCAGGCCGTTGCTCACACTACAGTGCCGAGTGACACCTGGTGAACACCAGTGCTGGGAAGACTCACCACCCAACCCCAGCACCGCAGGGCAGCTCAGGCAGAATCAGAGACGGTGCAGAGGCCAAGATGGCGCATGCACAAGGCCCTGAATTCCAGCCCCAGCACTGTAGGAAAAAGAGGGAAAGGAAGGGAACGGAGGGGAATGAGGCACAGGCTACTTGGGAAACTAAAGCAGGAGGATTGCAAGTTCCAAGTCTCAAAAAAAAAAAGAGCTGGGTATAACCCAGTGGTAGCATGCATGTCTAGCATGCTTGAAGCCCAAGGTCATTCTCTGGCACTGCAAAAAATAAGTAAATAGGGCTGAGGATATGGCTCAGTTGGTAGAGTGCCTAGCATTCACAAATCTCTGGGTTCAAATCCCAGCACACAAGGTCATCCTCAGCTACATGAGCTCAATGACAGCCTTAGCTACATGAGACCTTGTTTCAATAATAGCAATAACAGAGGTAGGACTAGGGTAAGTAGGGAGTGATAAATTACTTGCCTAACATACGTGAGGACTTGGGTCTGATCCCAGTCCCAAAAAGGGATAAAAACAGAAGATAAGCCAGGATTCCCAAGACTCTGCACCCAAGGCAACACTGGGGGAGGAGATTACCAATGAACTGCACTTTCAATCCTGCATCCTATTCTTTCTAACATTAGATGTACAGCACAGTGTGGTGGCCTACAATGCCTATAATCTCAGCACTCAGGAGGCTGAGACATGAGGATTATTGTACATTTTGGGACCAGCCTTGAGTACAGAGTAGGTTTGGGTCAGCCTGGGCTACACAGTCAGACCATATTTCAAAACAGAGAATAAAACCAATAAATATATAAATTAATAAAACATGTCATATGTGTGTATCTCTCTTGATACTCCCCCTTCTAAAATAAAGGACAAGGAAGTCACATTCCAAAGTCTCTGTGGAGGCACCCCAAGAGAAGTAACAAGAGTTCTAAACCCAGCTGGGCGGCAGTGGTGCACACCTTTAATCCCAGCACTTAGGAGGCAGAGCCAGGTGGATCTCTGTGAGTTCAAGGCGAGCCTGGTCTACAGAGCAAGATCCAGGACAAGCACCAAAACTACACAGAGAAACCCTGTCTTAAAAAAATGAAAAAATTAATAATTAATAAATAAATAAATAATAAATAAATAAATAAGTTCTGAACCCCTTCTTTGCAGGAAATGTCCTTAACTATAGGGATTCAGGGGGTTCTACAGCTTCAAATCTCTCCTTGCCTTCAATCATCAAATGAGCAATGTTGCTTCTGGGGCTCATAACCATTCATCAGAAGATTCTAAAAACAGTGCAGGTGATAGCTCAATATGGTTTCATTTTGTTTTGGCTTTTGTGTTTTTAAACTGAGAGCTCTCCTCCCTACTCCCACTAAACAAACACTTCTACCTCCAAGCTATAGCTCTACCCCTCAGCACTGCTCTGAATAGGGGATTAAGTACCTGTAAGATACTAGGAATATCCTGGAATCCTAAAAATTTATCTATCTGATTGTTATTATTAATTGAATTGCTGTGTCAGAGCTGAGAATGTCACTGACTTTGCCAGGCCTGAAGACAATGTCACTGAATGATGGGTAGTGTTGGAACAACATCAACATATACCTTTGTACTGAATAAAGAACACAACAGAGGATTTGCTTCACTAGGAATAATCTCGGGAAACACCTTTGTGACATCTAGAAGGCTCTTTTCACAAAGACTCAAAAGAACTCACACCTGGATGCACTGGCAGTGGGAATGATTCCTTGCCAACCCACGGCCTACAATCCTGTTTTGTGAATAGGTTTGGAAACCTATTGAATAAATTGTGATTGCTTATAAGAATAAATCTAATGAAGTCAGAAATCATCGTGAACACCTGTGTGAATGCAGTGATAGTGTTTATTTCCCATCCCTGAGAAGCAGATGCCCTGAGGCCTCCTCAAATGTATCCATCCCAACATATTCAAGCTAGAAACATTTAGTGCACTGACCTACAGTCTCAGCTACTTGGGAGGCTGAGGCAGGAAGACTGCTTGAGTCCAAAAGTTGTACGCCAATTTGGCAACATTACAAGATGTTCATTTTCAAAATAAAACAAACTACAACAAAATTAAGACAGATCTTTTTCAAAATATTGTATTCCCAGATCAACCAAACTGTAAGCCTGATTTCATCGTAGTTTAAAACAACTACAATTAAAACAGCCAGTCCTGGTGGCCTCAACTGTAATCCCAGCTCCTCAAAAGATTGAGGATCCCAGGAATCAACAGTTCATGGCTGGCTGAGCTACAGTGAACTGAATGCCATCTGGTCAACTTAGAGTCCATGATTCAAGAAAGAAAGGAAGGCAGGAGGGAGGGAAGAAGGGAAGGAGGGGGGAAGGAAAGAAAAGACAGAAAGAAAAGAAAGAAGGGAGGAAAAGGGAAAGAAGAGACTAAAAGAAAAGCTAGGTGGGCTAGCAAGGTGGTTCAGTGGGTAAAAGGAGCTTGCTGCTAAGTCTGATGACCTGAGTTCAATGCCTGGCTCCCACACATTGTCCTCTGACTTCCACACTCCTAAACCCCATCATTCCACTAAATAAATAATGTCATTAATTTGAAAAGCTAGGGAGCTCAGCATGATGGCACATGTCTGTAATCTCAGCTCTTGGGAGGTGGAGGCAGGAGGATCGAGAATTCAAGGTCAGTTTGGGTGGTATGAGACCCCATCTCAAAGCAAGCAGTCAAGGAGGCAGGCATGGAACTCAGTGCTTGTCATTAGGCATAAGTTCAATCTTCAGGGGGAAAAAAGTTGTATTAAAATGTTTCTTTTTAAAAATCACATTCATTTAGTGTGTGTGAGAGAAAGCGAGAGAGAGACACAGAGAGAGACAGAGATATCTGTCTGTCTGTGTGCCTACCTGTGAGAACACTCATTCACAAGTGCAGGCAGGCAATACCAAGTATGTGGAGTTCAGGGACAACTGTGAGAGTTAGTTCTCTCCTATCACCATGTAAATCCCAGGAATAGAACTCAGGTCCTCAGGCTTGGCAACAAATTCCTTTACCCACTGAGTCTTCTCAACAGCCCCTAAAGTAAGTGTTCTTTAATGTTTAAAATATTTTAAAAGATATGATTACATTTTCAAAAGTCAATCTTACCTTATATGTATTCCAGAATTTCTGTTTCAGGTCCAAAAATATGTCATCCTTTCCCTGGAGAATGCTCATACCTATTTATAGAAATATACCACAAGGATTTTAGAAGCAGAATGGTTACTATCTAATAGTGTGTTCAAGTTTCTCATCCCAACAGCATCCAGGGACATCCAATTCCAACTATTCACTATGTTGCTGTTGACCCAACAGGAAAAGAAGAATATTTCTTGATATTGACCAAGTTTTAAAGGAACACCAAGTAGGAAATGAGAATATCGAGTTTTAAAAGATACAGCAGAAAAAAAAAAAAAATGTAGCCGGGCGGTGGTGGCGCATGCCTTTAATCCCAGCACTCGGGAGGCAGAGCCAGGCGGATCTCTGTGAGTTCGAGGCCAGCCTGGGCTACCAAGTGAGTTCCAGGAAAGGCGCAAAGCTGCACAGAGAAACTCTGTCTCGAAAACCCAAAAAAAAAAAAAAAGATACAGCAGAATGATTATTATCTAAATGAAGAATCCACAAAATGCAGCTAATTCTGCATTGGATAATGAGCTTGCTTTATTTATTTATTGTGTGTTGGCACTTGCCGCTGCCCAAGTGTGGAGGTCAGAGGACAAGTTCTGGGGTCAGTTCCAAGGTTGCCAGGCTTAGCAAGTGCCTTTACCAGCTGGGCCATCTTTCTGTCCCCTTATTTGTTTTTGTTTTTAAAGTATTTTAAAAATTTTAGATTTATTTTATGTATTTGAATGTTTTCCTCATATGTATGCACACCACAGTGCTGTGGATGCTTGTAAGCTGCAATGTGGGTGCTGGAAATTGAAGCCTGGTATTTGCAAGAACAAGTGTTTCTAACTGTTAAGTCATCTCTCTAGCCCTTCCTTTCCCCTGGCTGTCCTGGAACTCTATAGACCAGGCTGGCCTCCAACTCACAGAGATCTGCTTGTTTCTGACTCCCAAGTGCTGGGATTAAAGGTGTGAGTCACTCCACCCAGCTTATTTGCTGTTTTGTGAGACAGAACTTCAAGTGTCACAGGTTGGTCTCAAATTCACTATTAGGTAGCCAAAGATGATTGGATCCTCCTGCCTCTGCTGCCCAAGTGCTGGAACTACGGATGGGAACCACCATGCCCAGCTATGTATTGCTGGGGGCAGAGCCCAGGTGCTAAACAAGCACTCTGTCAACTGAGTTGCAGCCCCAGCACCAACTTTGAAAACAAAACAAAACAAAAATCACTTTAATCTCCTTCCTTCCTTTGGTTCTTTTTTATTTGTACTGGGATTAAACCTGTGGCCTGAAGCATGGTAAGCCTACCCTCTACCACTGAGCAACACTGCCACATTCTCACCCTAAATCCATTCCTTTAAAAAATAAAAATAGCCAAGTGGTAGTAGCGCACGCCTTTAATCCCAGCTCTCGGTAGGCAGAGCCAGGTGGATCTCTGTGAGTTCGAGGCCAGCCTGGTCTACAGAGCGAGATCCAGGACAAGCACCAAAACTACACGGAGAAGCCCTGTCTCAAAAATAAATAAATAGAGCCGGGCGGTGGTGGCGCACGCCTTTAATCCCAGCACTCGGGAGGCAGAGGCAGGCGGATCTCTGTGAGTTCGAGGCCAGCCTGGTCTACAGCGCGAGATCCAGGAAAGGCGCAAAGCTACACAGAGAAACCCTGTCTCGAAAAACAAAAAAAAATAAATAAATAAATAAATAAACAAACAAATAAAAATTACTGGGCCCTGGACATTCTAGCAACTACACATTTCCCATCAGTATATTCCTACCAGAGTTTAACATTCAAGAAACAGAGCCAAAACCTCACGTTTAAAGGAGAGTGTAAAAATAACAGCATTTAAAAATTTCTAACAGCCCTGATTGTGCACTTGGGTGAGGGTTGGGGATATGAGAGTTAACAGCCAATGGCAGGAGATTCTTAGAATGAGACTCAAGGGGGCTGGGGAGATGGCGCAGTGGTTAAGAGCATTGGCTGCTCTTCCAGAGATCCTGAGTTCAATTCCCAGCAACCACATGGTGGCTCACAACCATCTCTAGTGGGATCTGTGGGATCTGTTGCCCTCTTTAAAGACATGCAGATAGAAAACTCATATAAATCTTAAAAAAAAAAAAAAAAGAATGAGACTCAAAACAAAACCCAGCAAATATTGTAGTGCTGTGATCTGCTTACCCAGTTAATGCTAAGTACTCACATCACCACATTATTTGACCCTCCTAACAATTAACTCAGATGAGAAGAGTTAAAAGGAGGAAAAGACAGCTAGTCATGGTAGCCCTGTAACATTAGCAAACAAGAGGCTGAGGCAGGAGGACTACCATGAGCTCAAGGCCAGATTACACTACCCAGCATGGCTTTGTCTAAAAATGAAGTGCTTTAGGGAGTGGAAGAGCAAGAACCTGTCCAGGTGCACTGCCCAACTATCAGTTTTCAACTCCCATACCCATGCTCCCCCCACTGTAACATGAAACAGAGGAGACTGAACCAGCAAAAATCCAGACCAGTGATATAACAGAAGGCCTCAGGCCTTCATCACAAGCGTCTCCCACACCCTGGGACAGCACCATTTCCTAGTTTCAGGGTGATCACACATACTATGACCACCAACATCAAGATGAAAAACAAGGCTGAAAGCCTGGACTGTGCTGTCTCCTGGTGAACTTCCAAACCCCTCCATGCCTGTTTTCTCATTATATAGCATGGGAATTGTGAGTATATCTGCCTAAGTGGTAGCTCAAAGGTTCAATAGGAATCTGGCCTGTCAAGTGGCAAGTCCTGGCTCCTAACTCCTTCACCACTGCACCAAGCTGTAGTGAGTATAGGAATCCATTTGCAAAGCTAGCTGAGAGACCACACCAGGGGACAAGGCACAGCGCTTGAGCAAATCAGAAGGCTCTGGCTCTCTGGTTGTCTATTCTGACTTCACTGACCTCCTTAGCGTGGCGTTAGCTGAGACTGTAACAGGCCACCAGGTCTTTGATGTTTCCTGTGGGCTACAGAAGAAAAGGAAGTGAATACAGTCTCCCTTAAATACCTGCCCCCAGAGGGGAAGTTTCTTCTAGATGGTTTGCTAACCCTCGGTCGGTTTAAGAAGACATTGACAGGCTGGACAGGTGGGGCAGGCTTGTCATTCCAGCAGCTTGGAAGCCTGAAGTTGGAGAATCACAAGTTCATGGCCAGCCTGAGCAACTTAGTGAATCCCTGTCTCAAAATTAAAAACAAACTAAAGACTGAGGATATAGTCTAGTTGACACAGCTTGAGGCCTGAGGCTTTAGACTCAATTGTTGGTGATCTAACATCCCCAAGGCCCTGGAGAAGACTCTCCAAATACTGAATGACCCTCCCCAGCTGCCACTGCCTTTGAGGGTACAGAAATCGCTGAGGAGAGAAACCATGAGACCTTTTGTTGTTTTCAGTATATCAGGCAGAAAGGTTTCCCAAGGCCAGACCATCCAGGCCAGAGTGATGAGAGTTCCTTCTCAAGTATACAACCCCCTTCCATTCTCTGTGTGACCCCATGCAGGGAAATCTTGTTGCCCAAGCAAGGCTAAGGCCCTGGAGATGACTTTTCTATAATCACAGGTTCCACCCACTCTGCCCCCAGAGTCACCGATCCCCTCATTTTTGGGTTGATGTATTGGCTGCAGAACCTCAGGTGTGGCTTTTCGCAGGGCAGGTGGAGCCCAGGAATGCAGCTGCTACGGGGCTAAGCAAGGGTGTCTTAGATGTGCCCTTTTCTGAAGGAAAATAGACCACACACACACACACACACACACACACACACACACACACTCCTGAACATCGCCAACCTGACACCAACCCCCTGAACTCCTGGCACGCTGGATCTCCAGTTCCCAAAATTCTTCCTCATGAAAACCTCACGTCCCCCAATGTTCAGACCTCCTGTTGCTGCTTCAAAGCTTCCTTCTAGCCCTGGTTCTCTGGCAGCAGAGTTATCACCTCCTGCCTCAGCCCCAGTGGCTTCAGATCTCTGGTCTCCGCGGCCCCTAGTCCCCACTCTCCACCCCCCCAACCCCCACCCCGCGCCTCCTGCCCGGCCTCCAGTGCCCCAATCCCAGACTCTGAGCCCCGCCTAGGCCCCTCACCGACGTAGAAGGCAGAGAGGGCAATCGGCCCACCGACAGTCTGATCGCACAGCACCTTGGCCAGGACCGTGCGCGGCGCGCGGCCCGGAAGCGCGCGCTCCAGAAGGCGCAGCCACACGTAGTTGAAGTTACCGTGGAAGGTTAAGGCCAGAGTGGCCACGCGCCGCGTCTGGCGCCAGTCGGCCGGGCCTCCCCGCAGCCGCTGCTGCAGCGCATCACCCGCTGAAAAGAGACCGGCGTAGAGCAGCACGTTGGTGGGCCACGGATAGCGCCGTGCTGCGCGTGGAAACGCACGCCACCAGCTCGCCATACCCACCCGGGGTGCCTTCTGCGCCTGCACACCTGACTGAGCCGCAGTGATTCGACACCACTATGCACACCCAACCCGCGTGCCCAATCCCGTGACGACTGGCCACCAAGAGGGCGGAGCCTCTTCGATGTGCAGAGTCCACAAGGTTTGGACAATTTCCAAGAAATCTCCAGAAGGAGGAGAGGCACTCAGACAAAAAGCAGATCTGTCATTTCCAAAGGCCGGGCATTGTAAGAACTGTGGCTGCCATCGGGGCATTGGAGATGACCTCACGACTTTGTGAATATGCCCAAAACTAGTGGCTCCTACACTTTAAAATTGGAATTTGTGTGTTTGTTTGAGACGGGGTCTCATGTGTTCCAGGCTGGACCCCAACTCCTTATGTAGCTGAGGACGACTTTCACCTCCCATCCTCCTGCCTCCACCTCCCAAGTTCTGGGATTATAGGTTTATGCCACAGGGTCCAATTTAAAGTGGTGAATTTTGTGACACGTGAATACTATTTCAAAAGATGCGGGGCTGATGTGAAGCTATGTAGTAGTGATTACCTAGCATGCAGAAGGCCCTGGCTTCAATTTCCCAACTATTGCAATAAAAATAAAGCAAGCAAGCTAGCTCGGTTCCCAAAGTGTCAATGTACTTGAGGTGCTTGCGGACAGGGAATTCATTCTTTTAGCACACAATATGTTGCCTTTCTATGTCACTGCGGGCCAAATGTCAGAGGTTAGGCTGAGGCCTTTCATGAATAAAATAATCCTGGATGATGTGCCAATTACTCTCCCCACTTCAGCTTGTGTCTCAGTGACCCCTGCCACCCCAAAACAGGCTTGAAGACCCATGGTACCAGTTCCAAAAGCAAGGTTAGGTGGGCGTTTGGGCAGCAAAGAGAAGCTCTGACCTTCTGCAATCCATTTTCCCCACGCCTTTTCCTGCCTTACCCTCTTTCCATGATATTCAACTTCTCTCACCCAGTATCTCTCCTCTCTGTCTTCTGTTCGTGTTTTGTTTGCATATCACTATCATACCAGGTGCCCACAGAATTACACACCATCATTTGCTGCCATGTGGGTGCTGAGAATTAAACCTGGATCCTTGAGTAGTGAAGGTCAGTTCTCTCCTTCCACTTTGTAAGTCCTGGGGATTGATTTCAGGTAGTCAGGCTTGGAGACAAGAGCTTAATCAACTAAATCCTCTCACTAACTCAGTGTTTTAATTTTGAAATAATTCCAGACTTAGGAAATATGCAGCAAAATTATACAAAGGAAGCTGGATGTCAGGCAGAACTTGTCATGCCTGAACTTGGGGTGGGGGCTGGTGAGGCAGATTGCCCAGAGGTTAAGGCCACTTGTGGCTATATAACAAGACCCTATCTGAAAAGACAAAAGCAAGAAAACGAACAAAAATACAAAGAATCCCTATATAACCTTGTTCATTTGTTTTGTTTGGTTTGAGTCCAGGGGCCATGAAGCCCAGCCTAGCCTCAACTCCCTAATCCTCTTGCTTCTGCCTCCTACAAGCTAAGGTTACAGGCTTCTGCCACAGTGCCCAGCCACCATATATTGTTTACTCAATCTTCCCCAAGTGTTGACATCTTGCATAACCATAGCACAATGATCAAAACAAGGAAATAAGAACTGATGTAATAGAGTTCCCTGTTCACATGTCAATCTTACTTAAGCTGGTACCAGAAAGTCCCTTTCTCTCATTCAGCACCCAATCCTGCCCTGCTGTACTGTTGTTTTACTTCGGTCTCCAATCTGAACCATAGACAATCTTTCAAAGATTGTCCCTAACTAAAAGTCATTTTTTACAAGCTGAATTGTCTCCTACCCTGATTTATACATTGAAGCCCTAACTCTTGGTACTTCAGAATGTGACTGTATTTGAAGACAAAGACCTTAAAGAAGTGACCCAGTTAAAATGAAGTCATGAGAGAGGCAATGCAATCTATATGATGTCTTCATAAGAAGAAATGGACTCAGCAAGAGACACCATGGTGGATTCACACAGAAGAAAAACTATGGGTGAGGACGTGACAAGAAGGTGGCTGGCTATTTGGACTGGTTGTGGTGTCCTTACTTGTATTTCTAGCACTTGAGAGGTGGAGACATAAGAGTTAAGAGATCAAGATGGGTACCAACTACACAGTGAGTGAGTGTGAGGCCAACCTGGACCATATAGACTCTGACTTTAAAAAAAAAAATTGGGGACACAAGATGACTCACGGGAAAAGGCACTTTACTTGACTCTCCAGAACACACATGATGGAAGAAGAAATTTTATTCCTACAAATTGCCTATGAGCTTCCCACATGCCATGCCATGTGCACTTGTATATACACACACACACACACAGAGAAAGACACAGATACAGAGAAGTGGGGAGTAAAAACTAAAAAGGAAAGAGGTGCTGTGGGATGTTTTGTATGCTGTGAATGTGTTGCCTGTAGTTGAAGTTTTCCTGTGTCCACCCGGGTACTGCAGTCACTCAGACCCAAGTAAACACAGAAAGACATATTATTTATAAACTGTATGGCTTTGGCAGCCTTCTTGCTATCTAGTTCTTATATCTTAAATTAACCCATTTCTATAAATCTATACCTTGCCACATGGCTCATGGCTTACTGTTATCCTTACATCTTGCTTCTAATGGTGGCGGCAGCTGGCAGCATCTCCTCGCTCAGCCTTTCACTCCCCAGAATTCTCCTCTCTGCTTATCCAGCCTATACTATACTTCCTGCCTGACTACTGGCCAATCAGTGTTTTATTTATCAATCAATCAAAGCAACACATTCACAGCATACAGAAAGACATCCCCAGCAGTTGCTCTGATTGGTTGATAAATAAAAAGCTGATTGGCCAGTAGCCAGGCAGGAAGTATAGGCAGGAAAAACAGACAAGGAGAATTCTGGGAACAGGAAGACTGAGTGAGGAGACACCAGCCTGCTGTCCAGGGAGCATGTAATGGCACACAGGTAAAGCCACAGAACATGTGGAAACATATAGATGAACAGAAATGGGCTGAATTTAAATGTAAGAGCTAGTCAGTGGTAGGCCTGAGCTAATGGCCGAGCAGTTTTAATTAATGTAAGTTTCTGTGTGTTTACTTGGGTCTGAGTGGCTGCAGACCAGGTAGGACACAGGAAAAGTACAGCTACAAGAAGGAGGTGAGGGAGACGGAAACTGGAAGGAAAGGGAGAAGAAGATAGTAGTCTGTGTCTATAAGCCAAAGAAAAGGGTTAGAATAGAGCTAGACTTGACCTTGACCTTCTAGCTTTCTGAACTATAAGAAAATACATTTCTATTTATCCCACCATGTACACAAACTAATTCATCCTTCCTCGACAGTCCCTGGACTCTGCCAATATCTGTGTGCTTTGACTTTCCATACTAACCATATACTGGTTTCTAGGGCTCTCATTGATCTGCCACTGGTCCCAAATGAATCTGTCAGATTTTCCCAGTTAGGCAAGCTTCTAGCTCAGCAACTTATCTGTTTACCACTTACAATCTGTCATAATTATGGTTTCTATTGTGCAATGAAACATCATGACCAAAAAGCAAGTTGGGGAATGTCTTAGGGTTTCTATTGCTGTGAAGAGACATCATGACCATAGCAACTCTTAGAATGGAAAACATTTAATTGGGGCTGACTTTGAGTTTCAGAAGTTTAGTCCCATTATCATCATGGTGAGAAGCACGACAGCATGCAGGCAGACATGGTGCTGGAAAAGGACCTGTGAGTTCTATAACTTGATCTGCAGGCAGCAGAAGGAGACACTGTGCCACACAGGGTGCAGCTTGAATATATATCTGACATCAAAGCCTGCCCCCACAACGACACACTTTCTCCAACAAGGCCACATGTGGTGATATATTGTGTACCCTAATAAACTTGCCTGAGAATCAGAGGACAGAGCCAGCCACTAGTTTAGACAGAGGCCAGACAGTGGTGGCACACACCCTTAATCCTATCACTCAGGATGCAGAGATCGTCAGGATCTCTGTGAGTTCAAGGCCACACTGGAAACAGAGCCAGGCAGTGGTGGCACACACCTTTAATCCCACTACTAGGAGGCACACATGCCTTTTATCCCAGGAAGTGATGGCTGGGTGGAGAAAGGTATATAAGGCTTGAGGAAACAGGAACTAAAGCAGTTCAGCTAAGACCCTTTCAGTTGAGAACTCAGAGACTGAGGATTCATGGAAACAGGATCAGCTGAGGAGTTGGTGAGGTGAGGTTGGCTGTGGCTTACTCTGTTTCTCTGATCTTTCAGTCTTCAGATATAACTTGCCAAAAAGGAACCTCCCCAAAGTTAGGGTTGGGGAAGGGTTTTGTTTTTGTCTTTCAGGAGAATGAAGACTAAGGACTCTGAAGAGCACTGAACAAATGAGACATCTGAAGAAAAAGGACAGATCATCCAGAAAAAAATGCCCCAAGAAAAAGAGTAAATTGGCCTATTGGTATATCACATATCTAACAATAAAATTTCATAAGTCTTCCTAAATGTTTGTTTCTGCTGTTCCCTACAGACACATAACATAAATGCCCTTTATGTAGTCCCAGTTCAATTAAAAATTAAAGCTGGCTTTGGAGTTGGAGCATAGCTCTCTCCTTCTCCAAACCCAAGCATGCTTGTTAAAAGGAAAATCAAATATCTCTGTATCGTCAGAAGAGCCACCTGATATGGGACAGAAGAAAAACCAAAATTGAGGGACTATTCTACTGCCACTAATCTCATAATTCTTTGGTTTTACTTTGACTCTTCAAAACTTTTCTTAAGGTATGAATTTTATATCAAAATTTATAAGATATATATATATATATATATATATATATATGTAGATGTAACCAACGGTCTTATTAAATAAGAAACACAGAGCCGATTCAGAGAGGAAAGTCAAGAGGTCAGAGCTAAGAGCCTCACCCTTCCTGATTCAGGGATCCTCTTCAGCCAAGAGAGCTCTCCGAAAAAGACCTACTTCCTGTGTGTATGTCTTTAAAGTCTTCCTGTTCTGCCTTCTCATTGGTTGTAAACTCAAACATGTGACTGCCTCGTCACTGCCT